AGACAAAGCAAACATCTGAGGATCATTCAGAGGACATATCAGCACAGGTATTATGCAGTTCTCGTGTCATAAAGCTTTTGTTCACATTAATTCATACCACCTTTTATATTATATTCAAATATCCCATTGCAGATTCAAGCTCTGTGGTCTAAGAAAGCATGTGAGATAGTCATTGCCATCACACAGTCAAAAGACCAAAAAAAGGTCTTATGTCCTGCATCATTCAGAGCTGAAAACACTCCAGCCACATAAATGGCTGATGGGGGAGGAAAGAAAAAAATATTCAGCCCTTTGGGAAATGCATTGGTCTTATGACAATTAAAAAATAATCTGTGAACATAAAGGAATATATTAACATACGTAAAAATGACGATGTTAAGCCATTGTTGAGTATATTGAATCAATGTTAATGAAACACTGGATGAAGTAACTCTAATTTACTTTTTATATTTTGTCTTAGACAATCCAATGCTATTTTGAAGTGGTGGTGAATAACAGAGACCAGGGACACAAGATTTTTATACTAAATCACTACACAGCAAGTGGTATACTTCATGGAGAACGAGATGAAGTACGGAGAAACATTCTCTCAAAGGTAAACATTATCTTTATCTTTAATTATCTATAATAATGGAATTGAATTCAATTTTATTTGTATAGCGCTTTTAACAATGGAAATTTTCTCAAAGCAGCTTTACAGAAACAAACACAGCATACAGATTCTAAGTGTGTCCAAAGACATGCACGGTAGATTGATTGGCATGTCCAAAGTGTCCGTAGTGTATGAATGGGTGTGTATGTGATTGTGCCCTGCGATGGATTGTCACCCTCTCCAGCATGTACCCCGCCTTGTGCCCAATGCTCCCTGGGATAGGCTCCAGGTTCTCTGTGACCCTGAAAAGGATACAGCAGTATAGAAGATGGATGGATGGATGGACAAACCCAGAGGTGTTTAATCTTATCCGGAAAGGACTGGTGTTGGTGCAGATTTTCATTCCAACCAAGCAGGAGCCACACCTGATTCCACCTGCACCCACCACCGGCCCTTTCCAGATAAGATTGGACACCCCTGTCACTAACCCGTACAAGGCCATATGCTTTTCACTGTGTCTACACCACACACAAGAGTCTGGAATAGTTGAATGTATGAATGAATGAATGAATGAATTCATTAATCTATTCATCCATCCATCCATAATTTTAACTTTCCCAGACTTTTTCAAACCAACCTCAAAGTATTTCTACAAAAATCTCATACCTGACACCTAGTCGAACATTTTCCAGTTGGTTTTGTGACTGTACATCATTCCCTTCAAATGCTATTGAGCTTTAAATCATGGTATATTTTGAGTATGAGCCTATGCAGTAATAAAATACATGACAAAATATATATATTATTTAATAGTTTATTTTGATAAATATAAAAAGTCTAAGAGGTGTGCATTATACCTGACACCTAGATGAACACAGTGGCTTATATGACTGACTGTAAGTCATTCCCTTCAAATGCTACTGAAGTTAGAAACGTGTTTAACAATGTCGTATGTAACTTTAGAGACGGTCCCTTAATTTCCGCATTTCCGCGAATATCGAACATCCAACGTCAGCCAACTTTATTCCAGTGTTTCACTACAGTTCTTCTCAGCTTTCTCTCTGTTATCTAATGCAGTGCTTCTCAAATCTTATGGTGAGCCCTTTAACTGTAAAATAAATCCCACTGACCCTCTCTGAATATTATTAGGCTCCAATATTAGGCTCATTATTTTAAACATGTACAGTAATATCTTCCTATTTATTGGATTCATGGGGCGTTTTATTGCTGCGCTTTCCACCAACACGTTTGTGCCGATTTGACATTACACCAAATAGTTTTAGAGTTATTCAAGGTTCGATTAAACCTATTTGGTTCAAGTGACCAGTCAGGCCAGCTATAAAAACTCATTCATCCCCAGTAACCATTTTACATTGGTCATGGTTGTGGTGGATCCAGAGCCAATCCAGAGAACACTGGGAGTGAGGCAGGAATACACCCTGAATGGGAGGAACGTTGCAGGGCATCATGCACATACACTTGCACACACTCATTCACACCCAGGGACAGTTCAGTATAGCCACTCCGAATACTAGCAGGATTTTGGGAGGTGTGAGGAAACCGAAAGAAACCCACATGGACACAGGGAGAATATGCACAGAAACTCCACACAGACAGTAACCTGAGTTCAGGATCAAACTGTAGACCTGAAGCTGTGGAGTGGCAATGCTTCCCACTGCACCGCCATGCCACCCCCTACAAAAACTCAATATATCTAATACCTTTACGAATGCTGGGTTAAGATTTCCACCACTGTAACAAAATGGTACATGCTGTGATCAAAGCGTTCATCAATTCCAGAATGAGGTGGATCATTATCAGTAAACTGTCACTCTTTTACAGACAACATAACTTCTAGAAATTCAAAACTTCTAGAAGTCAGAAGGGTTTTGTTGTCATTCCGACATATAACTTGTATACATTAGAATGAAATGTTGTTTCTTCAGGAATATGGCATGAAGCACAGTAATTCCGGGGCATCAGTGGCTCAGTTTGTCCACTAATCCACTAATCGTAGGGTTGGCGGTTTGATTCCTGGCCCACATGACTTCATGCCGAAGTGTCCTTGGGAAAGGCACTGAACCCCAAGTTGCTCCCAATGGCAAGTTAGCACCTTGCATTGCAGCTCTGCTCATTGGTGTGTGAGTGTGTGAGTGAATGGGTGAATGAGACACAGTGTAAAGCACTTTGGATAAAAGCACTATATAAGCACATTTACCATTAAGCATGGTACACAGGAATACACATAAATAGATGCAAATACATGACAGCGTGAGATGAGTGCAAAGTATACACTAAATACACTGGGCAATAAATACTCCGAACAATGCAAGCTAAATAGACAGGACAGCAGAACAATGTTGGGTGGAAAGAAAAGTATTGAAACATTTTTATATTTTAAAAACAAGAAAAGGAAAACAATTCCTTATTAAGCCTGGGGTCTTATTGTTCTGTAGTTATACAGGTGGATCTCAAAAAATTACTGTATCGAGGAAAAGTTAGTTTTTTACCCGTAATTGAATACAAAAAGCGGAACTTTCATATATTCCATATTCATTACATATAAACTGAAATATTTCACGCCTTTTTTAAAATTATTTTAATGTTGATGATTATGGCTTACAGCTCATAGAAATCAAAAATCCAGTATCTCAAAATATTAGAATAAAGAATTTACAATACAGAAATGTCAACCTTATGAAAAGTATGTTAATTTATGCACTCAATAAAGGTTGAAAGCCAGGCATATCAATTGGTGTTGTTTGATGTTGTTTGATTCACATGCTGGAACATGGCAGTCTACCCTGTTGCATTATCATGAATAACAGTGTGGAAAACATTAGCCTGGACAAGAATACAGTGCTCCAAATTACGGTGATTTAGCTGGTTGAATAGCTGAGGAATTTTTTTAAATGATCATCTTTTTCAAAAAAATAAATAATGCTGGAAATCTTATATAAAACAAAAGTAAAAAAAAAAAACAACCCACAAACAAAAAAAAAAAAAAAAAAAAAAAAAAAAAAAAAAAAAAAAAAAAAAAAAAAAAAAAAAAAAAAAAAAAAAAAAAAAAAAAAAAAAAAAAAAAAAAAAAAAAAAAAAAAAAAAAAAAAAAAAAAAAAATTTCCAGAAATGTATTATTTAGTCGAACTGTAAGCGTTGACATATTGTTTAAGTATCATTAAGTTGATCATATGGACCATGGGTAAGGTGTTTGTTTTAATTAAGGTTGGGTTCCAAATGTATATGAAATGTTTGGATTCAGAACAGGGCACAAGTAGGAACTTTGGGTACTCTGAAAAGTTAATGCATTGGGACCCATTGCTTTGTACAAATGTCATTCTTCTGGACTTCTCCTGGATCATAGGAATCATTCTGCTCCAGGACATTAAAGTGCATATTATTTCATGATAATAAAACAGTGTATATTTTCAACTGATATTATTGTGGGATATAATTATTCTGCTAATTTAGCAGACCCCAAATTAATTCCAAGACAAAACTTGGACCAGCTGTGGAAACTGTGAGTGAAAAATCCAATGTTGTTTATGCCAAAGTGAGATTATCCTACATGAACAGGTGCTAGGGATATTCACTGCAGTGGCCTGAATACAGTGAATACAACAGGGTTATGAAACGGTCTATACTAATTCTCTGTAAAAAAAAACAAAAATAATAAAGACATAAATAATAATAATATAATATATTAATATTTTTTGAATGGTTTGATTGAAATGTGAATCAAATCATTTTCAGAGTACTAAAACTAGCCACTATTTGTGGCATTTAATAAACGGGTGGAATTTTAACCAGTAAATATCTTTTAAACCGCGTCCTACAGGGGAAGACTGTTTACCAAGGCTGTGCTGATAATACCATGCATTAGAATTACGTAATTTGCATGTAAATACTAATAGCCACTGTAGACTTCAATTCAATTCAATTTTATTTATGTAGCGCTTTTAACAATGAGCATTATCACAAAGCAGGTTTACAGAAATCTGGAAAATTGATCCCTAATTTACAAGCCAGAACCGACAGTGGCAATGAAAAACTCCCTGAGGTGACAAGAGGCAGAAACGTCATCTAGGTGACACTGGATCTTATAATAACGAGTCTTTATGGATTACATATACATTAATTACAGTGAAATTCTTTTCTTCACATACCCCTGCATGTTAGGAAGCTGGGGTCAGAGCTCAGGGTCAGCTACGATAGAGCGCCCCTGGAGCAGAAAGGGTTAAGGATCAAATTAATCACATGCATGAATATGAATCACATAAAAATGAATCATATGTAAATGAATCACATGTAAATGAATCATATGAAAATGAATAAATAAACAAAGGCAAAAAAGAAAAGAAAAAAGAAAGGGTTAAGGACCTTGCTCAAGGGCCCAACAGTGGCAGCTTGGCAGAGCTGGGGCATGAACCCCCGACCTTCTGATCAGTAACCCAAAGCCTTTACCGCCAAGCCAACACTGCCCCTATATTGCAAACCGTGTCAAAACATGTTGCCAGTTCATTGTTAACTGTGTATGAGCACCATTATAGTTTTAATTTGAAATCTATCATATCAAACTGAAGTTATTAACTGTTTAATGATGGAGACTGGAGTGAAAACTGGTCTTCAAAACTGGAGTCCTAGGACTATTTTCATGGCATTAATGGCATGGACCTAACCTTAGACAGAGTGTAAAATAAATGAGTCTGTTTTATTTCCTGTACATGCTAGTCAAGAACATTCACTGCTATGTCATTTAAACATGTAAAAGAGTCTATGCAAGCCACAGCATATATAAGAGTATTACATTAAGTAGAAATCTTCGTCATGTTCATCAAGTCAACCAAACACGGCCAGTTGTCCCTGTGTTTCTTCTGATAGAGGACTTTCCTGGTTACTCATTAAAGAAAATTAGCTGTCTGTCACTTGTACAAAAATACACACTGCAAATAAGACTGCACTACAATAGTTTTCAGACTTGAGTTGTCAGACTTCATCCTAGAACTCTGATGGCACTAAACAGCTGGGAAAGGTCACTGTCTGGACGCAAAGGAAACACTCGTCCTACACTAACATCCACTCAGCTATAAAAGCCTTTTCTTAACCACATTTATAAAGACTTCTGAACAGACGACTTCCTTCTCACAGGCACCGAAAGGGATAAGCAATAATGGGCCTTGGCTTTACACACTCATGCGTATACATTCACTCATCTCCCAAAAAGATCTATCCAAGATCAGACAGCCACAATGGGACATTTAACAGAATTTCAAACACACATCAGTAGTGATTGGGCCTCCTGTCTTCCCTAGACACCCAGGAAACCATAGGCCTTTCCCAGACCCCAATGCCGTTTTAAAATTTCTCATCCTCTCAGTTTGCTCTTTACCCTAGTTCCTATTTAGCACATGATGCTGTTATTGAGAAAAACAAAAACAAATCACACAGATTCATGCTGAGATAAGTGTTCATACTGTGGTCCTTAAGGAAGGAGAAAGATCAAACTGTCACTCAGATGCTGACCACTCCCCCATAATTTAAAGGAGTATTTTCATGCTACTATTTTTGTGGGGTTTTTTTACTGCTCCAAATCCATAAATCTACACATTACTCATCTGACAGGAAGCCATAATTTCAGAGGAGCTTGCCAGTGTGAAAAGGCGTAAAGAGTCACACCTAGTATGAAGCTAGACAGACACGCGTCTCCAAACTACGAGTGAAAAGAGAGCCTTTGTGAGTGCAGCAGTGGGTGGGAATGTATGCCAGTGCCTGTTTTTAACTGAAAAGGCCTTTTGTATATCGAATCCCTCCCTCACCAACCTACAAGCTAAGCGCAGCCACCTTACATCACTGGCATCTTCATTAGGCATACTCAGAAATAGTTAATAATAATAATTTCATTAGCAAGTCAGAAAATAACTGGAGCTAAGGAAAATAATAGGTTTCTTTATACATAATCGTACTTGAGTTTAGTTGACTCTCCCCACACATTTTAGAAACAGGTTCAGGATGAAGATGTGAGTGATGAGAGGTCATGTGCCAACACCACACTAAAACTAATCGCTCGGTCTTCACATTGGTCGACAGACCCCAGCTAATATATATGATATATATCATCAAAACAATTAGCACCAGCGATTCAACAGACAAATCAAATAGTTATTGCTGGAGATATTGCTGATAAACCTACACTCAATACTGCTGGTGCGTGAACGAGTTCACAATCATGACTATTGCTGATTTACGTGATTCCACAAGCAAGTGCATAACTACACTGAATTAGCATCTGTCCATATTTATAATAACTACAGGGAAACACATACTGGAGAAAGGATAGTGAGAGCAATAGTGTCCAGTTTGCATCAGTACAGGTACTCACTGTATTTCTCAGGTGAGCCAAGATTAGGAATAAAAACTGATTTTAACCGGTTTTTATAACAGATGTTTTAATGTTTGTTAGTCTAATTTGTCTGCTGGTTAAAGGATGTGGGGGGAGGGGGGTTCCCCTTGGCCTGGATCGTCCATGCTTGAGGCATGTCCACAAGTCTGTGTGGATTGAGTACAACAGCACATCTGTTACTTTAGTCAGTGGCAAGAACGTTTGCTCTGTTCTGCCCTGAGTTATCAGTCGGAGTGTTCCCGGGGCAGCTCAACACTTTGTGGTGCAATATGCTTGTGCTTGCTTTGTATGGCGCTTTCAGTTCAACACTCCCTTTTTAAAATGTCCCCCATCACTTTCGATGTTTGGAGCACTAAACAGGCCCAGATACAGACACTTGAAGCACTAAACAGATTCAGATGTTTGGAGCATTAAACAGATACAGATGTTTGGAGCATTAAACATACACATACAGATGTTTGGAGGACTATACAGATACAGATGCAGATGTTTGGAGCACTAAACAGGTACAAATACAGATGTGTGTAGGACTAAACAGATACAGATGTTTGTAGCATTAAACAGATGCAGATTCAGATGTTTGGAGCACTAAACAGATGCAGATGCAGATGTTTGGAACACTAAACAGATCCAGATGCAGATGTTTGGAGCACTAAACAGATCCAGATGCAGATGTTTGGAGCACTAAACAGATACAGATGTTTGGAGCACTAAACAGATACAGATGTTTGGAGCACTAAACAGATGCAGATTCAGATGTTTGGAGCACTAAACAGATCCAGATTCAGATGTTTGGAGAACTAAACAGATCCAGATTCAGATGTTTGGAGAACTAAACAGATCCAGATTCAGATGTTTGGAGCACTAAACAGATCCAGATGCAGATGTTTGGAGCACTAAACAGATACAGATGTTTGGAGCACTAAACAGATCCAGATTCAGATGTTTGGAGCACTAAACAGATCCAGATTCAGATGTTTGGAGCACTAAACAGATCCAGATTCAGATGTTTGGAGCACTAAACAGATGCAGATGTTTGGAGCACTAAACAGATGCAGATGTTTGGAGCACTAAACAGATCCAGATTCAGATGTTTGGAGCACTAAACAGATGCAGATTCAGATGTTTGGAACACTAAACAGATCCAGATTCAGATGTTTGGAGCACTAAACAGATCCAGATTCAGATGTTTGGAGCACTAAACAGATGCAGATGTTTGGAGCACTAAACAGATCCAGATTCAGATGTTTGGAGCACTAAACAGATGCAGATTCAGATGTTTGGAGCACTAAACAGATCCAGATTCAGATGTTTGGAGCACTAAACAGATCCAGATGCAGATGTTTGGAGCACTAAACAGAAACAGATGTTTGGAGCACTAAACAGAAACAGATGTTTGGAGCACTAAACAGAAACAGATGTTTGGAGCACTAAACAGAAACAGATGTTTGGAGCACTAAACAGATAGATTCAGACAGTTGCATTTCACACTTGTGTTACACCCCTAGAATACAGTGCATTGCAGTTGTGCATAGTAGCATACTACATACTATATAAGTGGAAATATCTTTAGATGACACGCTATTTTCACATACTGTGCAGTATAGCAGTATGCAGGTTTGAACATGGTCTTCAGTGCATTCTGACAGTCCAGCATTGATGTGATTTAGGGTCGAGGCTATTAATGAGGCCACTGTTCAGCAAGTAAAACCAATCAGGAGAGAAAACAAACAGGCAAGTGAAGAACCAGTTTACACACATGAAAAATATCATAAATCATAATGGGTTTTTTTTGGTGTGATTTATTTATTTTTTAACAGTTTCTCTGATGATTATAGATGATTAATCTTACTGTTAGAAATCACTGATGAACGTAGGTATTAGATCCAGCCAAATGCAGGTGCTTTTTGCTTTGCCATACAATAAATGTGGATGTGATTATTCTACACAATTCTTTTACATGTCTATCAACAAGATCAGGGTGAAAACCCTACACTCATCCTACAACAGCTGGAACACTCCTTTGCAATCAAGAATTCAGTATAATGTTTGAAATTAAATCTAATCTGTGTAGAATTCCACTATATTCTAAAGAAGTTAAATGGACCATGTATTTTATTTTATTAATGTTCATATTTCCCATTTTCTGTAATAAAATGCAACAGGGGGCGCTGTTTTAGGGAAATAATCAGCTGTGTGGTTGATATACCAGAGTGCTGTTGAATTCTCTCATCTGATTGGTCAGAAGGTGTCGATTAATTTTCTGTAACAGCAGCTCTGACAATAGTTCAGACTGTGATTAAAAATCACAGGTTTATTGACTAACTGCTAACATTACAACTTTAAATGGTTAAAAAGCACAATGTGTAACACATTAATATATTCACAATTGTAATCATCGTAAGTTGATGGAGGAAGAACAAAACACTTTGAGGCGTGCTATTATTGGAAAATAATAATCACACCAAATATTTGTAAAGAACTTTGTAAAGAAATAAGATTTGCTTAGGTACAGCGGTGTCTTTTCACAAAAGCCCAAGGTGTGACAGTGTAGAACACATGACAGTAAAAAGCCGTTTCTAATCATACATCATGCACACAACTGGCAACAGACTCAATATGGCTGGATCGAGACCCACAGTGAAAGTAGAAGCTCAACAATAACCTCATGAACTCAGTCATTCAGTTTCTTTTTTAATCCAGTGCTGATTTTTTAGAATCAAAATTAGATACAGTAGACATCACATACACACATATACATATATATATATATATATGTGTGTATATATGTGTAATATATATATATATATATATATATATATATATATATATATATATATATATATATATATATATATACACACACACACACACACACACTGTGTGTGTGTATATATCCATCTACATATCTGTATATTATATATAATCATTTAGACAATTTTCAGCTCGACACTTGACTTTAGTTCTAGCTGAAACTCAATAATTCTATAGTACCAACTTCCAAAGTTATAAGCCTAATTTAACTCAATTTATTTAAAACCTATAATGATCGATATGATGAAGCTTCCTGTTGTGAGACATT